TTTTTAATGCAGAACCCAATGGTGGAGTCATATACGAATTATTGGCAAACAAAATAAAAATAAATTATCTGTGCTTAGACAACAAAGTTTTTCTGGTATAACTTTTGAATAATTTTTATAATTTTAAAACTTATTATACTGTTGGATTCTACATTTAAAATCCTTTAAAATGATATGGTACAATATTGAGATTACACTGTTTGAAATTTCCAAGATATAATAAATTTTGACCTTTAAAGGTCAATGGTTAGAGCATTAGTTTAATGTTAGAGTTAGATTTAGAGTTATTTCCGAATTTATAGAACAATATTTCACAACATATAGTACAATTTCCATACCTTATTTCTATAACTCATTTCTATGATACACATTACATGCCTTCTTTGAATCATTCAAGATATGCACCACAGCACTATTTTAATTATTAAAGACATACACCAAGTGCCCCCACTGCCCCCATTGAATTATTAAAGGTATACACCATGAATTAAGGATATAAACTACATGCACAACTTAAAAAAATGCTTGATTTTACACTAAAAGAATGCTCTTTTAATAATGTATTTAAGTTGAATTATAATTAAACATTATTCTGCATCATTTATAATTCTGAAACTTTATTACACACAAGCTTAAAATAAAAAAAATAATAATAAAATAAAATACAAAAAAGTTTTAATCAATCAAAGACATTGGAGATTCTTTTATTTTTACATTATTGAAAGAATAAAGTAAAAGGCCGTAATCGTTTTTGTTCAAACTTAATAATGCATAAGCTGTTTATTGCTGAAAGAATACGTAACAAAAGTCTACTTTCTACTTCACTTAAATGCATTGTTCTATTGTATAAATTTAAAAGGTTTTAAGAGATGCTCAAGAACTAATCTCTAATTATATTAATAAATAATAAACAAAAATAAATGAAGGAAAAGATATTCTTGAATAATTAAAAATCACTCAATTTTTATCTATATACATCATTATTTGTTTATATATAATAAAATATTAAACATTTGTTTACAGGAACTCGAACCTGAATTATTTAAAAAAAAAAAAAAAAAACATATAAAAGAGTAAAGATTTTATACAGTGATAAATTAAAGTTTCTATTCGGAAAATACTTAAATTTTATTATAAATTCTTTAATTCGGAGTGATACTTAAAATGGAATTTGCTTGCATTACTTTAAGTAAATTGCCACTTATTTATTTATTTATTTTTAAAAATGTAAAAAATCTGAGGAAAGTAGACATGATTTTTTTTTTAATTTTTTTTTGCTCCTTTTCTTGATTTTTTAAACCTTTTTCTTTGAGTTCCTATCTGCTTTTCCGTCTGGTCGACAATCTTTTACGTTTTCAACACTCTGTCATCACTCATCCTGTTTATACTCTCATCCAATTCATCTCTTTTTTTCCTTTGCTTCTAACAATCCATTCATTTATTGGTTGAATGATGAATCCTTTTCCAGAATTTCTTTATTTTTATCTATTTAAAGTTTTGTTAACTATTCTCTCTCTTAAAATAAAATAAGAAAAAAAAGAAGAGGAGGAGCAAGAGCAGGAGGAGGAAGAAGGATAAGAAGAAGAAGAAGAAGAAGACGAAGAATTTTTAATTCTTTGTTTTAACTCATTTATTTTTATTTTTTTCTTAATTCTTTTACTTTTATTACATCCAATCTACAAAAAAATAATATTACTATTTTCTAAACTTTTATTTTAAAGACTTTTATTACTCTAGATCAAGTTATTTAAGCATTCTGTAATTGGATTCTTTCTTAAATGACTCTTTGCATTTTCAATAAAATATTTTTGTGTATTTAAATAAATGTAACTGTTATGTTTTATCTTAAAGAAAAAACATATTTATATATACACGTATTTTTTTCTAATTTTACTTTGTAATTTAATATTTAAAAACGCCATTAATTAAAAAGTTTTATAAATAAATAAACGATGCTTTAAGGATGGTGTTTAGTTTAAAATTTAAGAAAATTTGATAATTTTTACTTTATCTTCATTAATTTTGAACAGAAATCTTCTTAAATCTGTTGTTTATTTCAGATATTTTATTTTGAATATACACGTAGACGTACTTTTAATGATGCATTCATGTTTAATTTCCAAATGATTCCAATCTCAATTAATCATAGTGAGAAAATTCTGTTCCTATTTACTATGCGTTTATAGAATTGAATTAAACACAATTCATCGAGCTTCACAGTATGAATCTTTAAGTACCTGAATCAATTACATTAAGGATATTTTATGAATTTCTCATCTATCAGATTAGTTTTACAGGATAGAGGAAATATTGCCATTTGTGTGATAGAATGTACAATCTTCATATAAATATTGTACTGCAGACAAAAACTAATTTCATTCATTAAAAGTGTACACTACATACACGGTTTGAACTGTTTAAATTATGCATCATACACATTATAACACTATTATACCACTTTGAAGTCCAGCATCATATACATCACATGCCCCATTTGATTTATTAAAGATATGCACCTCAAACCCCCAATTGAATTGTTAAGGATATACAACACATACCCAATTGAATTATCATAAACATAAGCCACATGTCTCATTTGAATAAATAAGGTTATAACCCCACATGTTTGATTTGCTTCACATGTCTCATTTTACTCGTTAAGTATATGCACCACATACACTACTGAAAATATGCCCCATACATGCCCCATACAGGCCATTTTCTAGCAAATATACATAAAAATCTCCACTCGTTCAATAAATAATACATTTCTGATACATATTTACATACTTCCTTTCTTTATTCTACACTGTAAGTAATACTTTATTAAAACTCTTATACATAAAATATGTTGAAAAATAAGTAAATATTTATAGAAATAAACAAAATGTTAAACTCGACTCTTACATTAATAATAAAAAAATAAAATCTTTTATAATATTTTATCAAATAAAAAAAACGAAAGAAGAAGAAGAAGAGGAAATGCACAACTTTATGAATTTAAATTTTTCAACTAGACAGAATATAAATAGAGATGCAAAAGATATTTTTAATCTGACTTCATTCGCTTCAAATTTATTTTCTGATAAGGAAACACGAAACCAGAATCTAAGAAAAATCTTATCCATTGCATGAAAACTTACATATACATCCATATATGTATATATGTATATATGCATATCAAATATAACTTTTTTTCCCACAATAACTTGTTTAATCCGATTATCCGGGTAGACTGTTAGAAGAAAAAACATCATGCAAAATTGACATGAACAATTTCCTTCTTCTTCTCCTTCTTCTTCTTTTTAAGATATGAACAAAGAAAAAGAGATGGAGAGGGGAGAGGAATGGAGCATCAGTTTTCTTTAATTGAATCGACAGAAGATACAATTTATTTTCTCTATTTTTAATCCGTTCATCCGTTCCTAATATTTTTGTGGATCTTAGAAGTTGCTTTAGGCAAACAATACAGTTGTTATTGTATGGTTTTGCTAAACTGGTTAGAAAAAGAGTGAAGCCATTTCTCTAATTCACCCCACAAGTTTCAAACTAGAATCTACTCCTTCTTCTTCTTCTTCTATTTTCTTGATAACAATTTTGGAAAATCGTATTTTAAAAGGTTTAAAAGAAAATTTTCTATAGTTCTAAATGGTTTTTTTTCTTTCTATTCGTAGTGGTTTAGATGTTTTATATATAGATTTGTTAAAACTTTCATGTAATGGTTTGATAGATTTACAATACTCTGAAATGGTTTCGAATTCGATTGTAATGATTTCTAAAAAGAATTATCGCTTTTATTTTATACGTTTTAAAGATAAATATATATATTTTCTAACTGTTATAAATTGGTTTATGGGATTTATAAATTTCTTCACGTTGGTTGAGTTTGGTTTTTATGTCTTAACCGTTTCTATAGATCAATATAAATGGTTTGATAGAATTTACATCGTGGAAATTTGTAATGGAAATGATAAGTTTTCAAATAAACTTAATGTATTTTTATGTTTATAATAAATGAATTTATACATAATTTATTTACGTATGCCTTTTTTTTATTTTGGACTCTGTTCTGTAGGTCATTTTTCTAGCTTCACTCCTCACTATTTGAATGTTGAGGAGCGAGACTTAAGTATTTTTACGGGACGTAGACTATTCCCAAATATGCCTAAGGTTTTTTGACCTTTCACATTCGATCCTGGATCTACAGGAGTAATAGGTTAACACCTTAACTGCCTTGTCTCCGAAGAGACAAGGTGGTTAAAATAACTTTTCATATTTTTAATAACTTTTCTCTAATTAAATGTAAAGATAAATCCATTGTTTTCTTATTATTTTCTGCGTAATTTATTTAGTGGGTTGAAAAGTCAGTTTACCTAGATATAACAAAGTTAGTACGGTTAACTAACTTTTGAGACATCCTGTGTTTGTGTTTAGAAAACTTAATGGAATCGTTATATCTGTTATAATTAAAGAATTTTAAATGAAAAATAAATTTAATATATATTTTACTAGGAAATTTAGTTTTATCTGTCTTTCATGAATTTTCAATGCCAAAATTTTATAATTATCTTATACTTTGAGTGTTTACTGACGAGGATAAATAAATCTTAATTGATAATATTTAATTATCGACATATTCAATATGTTTCTTTTTAAAAATTCTTCATTATTTTCTTCTTCTTCTTCAGCATTTTTAATATGGATTAATTTATCTATCGTCAATTAAAAGATTTTAATTAATGAACAAACTAAAAACTTATTCAAATTTTTAAATATTTATAGTCCAAATTATAATTTTAATTATTTTAAAACCCAAAATTACTTAAAGATTCTTAAAATGTTGTATTTTTATCGCATGAAATTCAAGATTTTCGGTTTTAAATAGTGTCATAAATTATTATTATTTTTTTAATGTAAAAATTTATTAATTTCTATTTAACATTATAAAATATATTTAAAAATTTAAATTAAAAAAGTAAATTTTCTAATGATTTTTCTAGTTGCAATACCAGAAGGTCCAGAACCATCGTTCGCTGAACCAATCCCAAATGTAACAGTTGCTGCAGGACGAGATGTTACGCTTCCTTGTGTAGTAGAAAATCTTGGAAATTATCGGGTAAGTAACAAATTACGTTAAAAATAAAAATTTTAATCATTTATAAAAAGCTTTAATATAATTAATTAGAAGCAATTTGTAACAGTTAAGAGGACAGAAGCGTTTAATTACATTAATATATATATATATACATATACATATATATATATTTAAATGATTTATTTTCTGACATTCCAATATTATTTAATTATTTAAATTTCCATTAAAAACAAATTATTCAACATTATTTAGTTATTGATACGTTACATTATTAATAATAAGCAAGGGAAATATATATATTGGTTAATGGAAGTAATTGATAATCAATAATATTGAATTACGAAAAAAATTCATTTTTAAGTCAATTTATGAAATTTTATTCCGCTTTTTTTATATTAAATGTTTAGAAAATAATTAATGTAAAATTTAGTAGAAAGTTATTTCATAATTTTATTTAAATTATGTGAAAATTTAATATTTCTTTAAAGATTTATTTTAACGTTATATGTATCTGTGACTTCATGATGGATTTTTAATATTTTATTTTGATTTTTGACTTTTTTTGCATTTGTCGTGAGATTTTTCAGAATGTTAGCTTTAAATTGATATTAATTTATAAAGGATATAGTTTAATTTTTATATAAACATTTTTACTTAAATTTTTTTACTTTATAATTCATAATGATACTCTGGTGTTGTAATAAGTATAGTTTTCAATTAAATTGCTTTGAAATTATTGGAAATTAATGAGAAATGTTTGCAAATAATATAGAGTATTGCGTTAAAATGTATAAAAGCAATGAAATTGTTTTATGTTAAAATTTCATTAAATTTTGTACTTATATCAAAGTGCATTTTGAATAGTTTTGTTGGGATAAGGCAAAAAAATTTATATTTATTGTTTGGAGAAACTATGAAAAGTTTTCACTTAAAATATCAATTGTTTTCATCTTATTTTAATCGAGTTGTTGATTTTATGTACAACAAAATGTTGTTTCTACGTGTCGAAATCATTATCATTCTGAATTATATTAAAGGAATAAACAAAAAATATTTACGTAGAATAATAAGAAAATAATTTTTAGTGTTTATCTTTATAAATAATAAATTCTAGTTTCATTCTCTACTCTTCTGAAATATAGAGCTTTTTAGACAGAGAAAATTTTAACTTTATTTCTTTATTTTATCAAGACATAAAGCGTTGCAGTAAGAAAGAATTTCAAGTACTGTACACTTCCCTACTATTTCTTTTGCCAGATTTAGAACATTACAGAGAGAAATTTAAACACTACTTCTTTATTTTTTCAACGTATACAGCGTTACAGACAGAGAAAACTGTAACTCTATTTATTTACTTTTTCCAACTTTATAGACAAAACTTCATTAATTTTAAAACATAATTTAACTTAATTACATTATTTATTTTTCCCTTTTACATATTGTTTTTTTTAACATAACATTTTAAAAAATTATTTATTTTTTTAAAATTTGATAAATAATTTAGTTAAGAATCGTTTGTTATAATATTTTCGAAGAGTTTTCTTGTCGAGAATTAAAAATTCTTGAAAGTTTATGAAAGTGGAGATGTAATCGTGGAGTGAAATGATGCCTGACGAATGAAACGTAGATTTAATCTATCTCATCTTCAAGACTGATGATTGTATGCGTCACTATCACGAAATCTTTCTCCTTGTGACATCTTCTGTGGTACTTGCTTAGATTCTTTCTAATATATTTCTGTCTCCTTATGCTGAAGAGACCTTCGAAGATTATCAGAGTTTTGGATGAACATCAACTTATCGATCTGATTTTTCTTCTTTACTTTAAATATATATATATATAATTTTCTTTTATTAAAATGTTATTGAGAAACACATAAATTTTTTCTATCAAATTTAAAACAGCTCGTAATTTTAGTAAATAGGAAAAAAATCGTTTAATATGTTCAATCTAGTGGAAGATATATGTCTATATGATGCGTGTCAGTTGTTTCGATGAAGAATTTCGAGCAAATAAAACTTAAAACTACGACTATATTAACAAAAATGGCTCTGAATTTATATTAAGAAACGAAGTATATAATAACGAATTGTATTTTTAAAGGGGAGAAGTAACAGAGAGAAGTAGACTCTCGTAAAATATGAGATATACTTTATAGAAAAAATGCATTACGACATGTAAAATGAATGTATACAATTTTAGTAAATCTTGTATTATAAAAACTGAATTAAAATTAACCAAACCTCAATACAGCGCTTTCTAAAGTAGTGCCACTTTCATGTAATGCCAATCAATATTCGTAAACGAATTTCCTTCGTACGTATTAAACAGTGAACCTTTTAGTAGCTAAGAACTACTGAATGCACGATTATGCACTGTAAACACGTGATTTTCAAATTTCTATACTCAACTTTGTGTGTAATCCTTAATACTATAGATGTTTTATTGTTAAAATACTTCGATTTAGCGCCAATTTAAAATATAAGCAAATTCTGGCGCTAAATCGAAGTTTCGAGTGCTTATCTAAATACAAGCCTTAATAATATGTAAGGCATAAACATAAAATATATGTAAATTAAAAATGTAACAGTTGCTGCAGGACGAGATGTTACGCTTCCTTGTGTAGTAGAAAATCTTGGAAATTATCGGGTAAGTAACAAATTACGTTAAAAATAAAAATTTTAATCATTTATAAAAAGCTTTAATATAATTAATTAGAAGCAATTTGTAACAGTTAAGAGGACAGAAGCGTTTAATTACATTAATATATATATATATACATATACATATATATATATTTAAATGATTTATTTTCTGACATTCCAATATTATTTAATTATTTAAATTTCCATTCGTTAAGTATATGCNAAATTATAGAAATGATTTTTTATAATTTTTTCTTTGAAAAAAAAAATAAGGAGGGGGAAAAAATTGAAAGAAAAAGAGAAGTTTCAGCAGATAGAAAAGCGCTCGTTAGCAGCTACTTCCAACTTTTAAAAAGTCAGAGAGAAGTGCTAATGAGCACTCAAATAAGAAAGAGCAGATATCACGCCTTGTAATGCTACTTTTACACAAATTATTTAATATCCGGTGATGTTATTCAGTTAGATAATTAAATGAATAATAAAATACTTTGTTTTTATCAGAATTTTAATGTATAATGGTTTTAAATAAGTTTTTAAATAATTGTAATTCTTCTTGTACTTCTTTTCTTGGTATATTTATTGATTTCTATGATAATGATCTCTTTAAATGATTACTAGAAGAGTGTTTTAATGACTATTAATTAAAATACTAGGAAAGTTTTATTTATAACGAGTCAAAATAATATTTTTTCTTAAGATAATTTAATTAGTACTGACGCATAAGTAGTTAACAGTGACCCAAAGTATTTACCTTCTAGAGTTAACAGTACTATCATTACTGACCTACTAGCAGATAATACTGCTACTATCATTCACTTACTAGAGGTTAACATTGAATCCATCACTCACCTACTAGCGGTTAACATTGAATCCATCACTCACCTACTAACGGTTAACGGTGAACCAATCACCCATTTACTAATGGCTAACGGTGCATTCATATAATAAATCTTTAAATAATGTTATATATATATACGAATTAACATCTTTCGGGGCCTCTGGCACAGAATATTAGTCCCCCTTTACATAATTTTACATCATAAACTAATAACGTCTAATTGTAGATATATAAAATTATTTATAAATTAGATGAGATCCGGGACCCTAGGCATATGTATCACATTTTTAATGGGCAGTTATGCATTATATTTAAATCATTATATAAAATATAATTAGAAATTAATAATGTTTAGAAGTCTTCTATCAAATACTCCAATTTTATCGAATAGGGCCCCCCTTTTATAGAATTTTTAAACAATTTTTAATAAGAGGCCCTACTCAGCAGTTGGCCCTTTAACTAAAATGAGATGATGAAAATTTTAATGCTGTCAAAATCGTATTTTCGGCAAGAGATTCCTCTATAGGGTGCATATATCACGTGATAGGGTTTAGGGTTTTCATGAGGACTATTATTTGGGGCAACGTGTGCCTGATTAATGTTAATTCTTTTAAATTTAGCAAAGGGAGTTTCAGTGTTAAGTTATTACAACAAATTACGCGAAGAGAAGATTACTTTGTGGTACCCTTAATAGTTACAAATGTTCAATTGCGGCTCAGTAATTGAGAAAGTTTATTAGTGTTAGTGTGTATGTCTGTGCTCCAGTTTAATACTCCCATTGCTTGAAAGTGGTTGTAAATGGAAGAAAATGGAAGAAAATGGAAGATGAAGAAATAAAAAAAAATAAATATATATATATATTTTCTTTCTTCCTACATTTTCTGTGAGAAAATGGCAGACGTTTTCCATGCTACTTTGCTATTTATTATAATGGGGTTGTATTAAAAGAATCTTTTACAGCTTGCTTTCTTTTAGATGTTATCATCATCGTAGTCATAAGTGTGCCCAATAATGAACAATAATTTGAAATAATTCAATTTTGTGTCAGGTTGGCCTCCACTAGGCCCCCCCATAACAAAACTCTGGCTATGCCCATGTTTAGGGTCTCACAGTAGAGAGTGGGGCTACAGAAAGCTATAGTTTAGGGAGTCACTTTAGAGACTACAGATACTACACACTTCCATTAATTACGTATGCAATTTTTAAGCTACTTTTCACCCACTTCTCCCTGTTGTATACAATGATATACTTTAGGCAAATCCCCACCCATTTAATTACGTATACAATAGCTCATTGTCCCCCCTGACGTTCAAGAAATGACTTCAAGAAGCTCTGTAAATTTTATAAGAACAAATTAGTATTTTACTAATACCACTAAAAACAACCAAGTAGACAATATCTCGCCCTGTCCATCGTTATATACTATTTGCTACCTCTAAACTGTACACATAAAAATTAATGGAAGGCCTTATAAGATGGAAGGCCTTATCTACTAGGAATAAGATGGAAGGCCTTATCTACTAATACACTAAGATGGA